ATGACCATGGGGCACCTTCCTTTGCATACCCTCAGGTCAAGGTAACGGCCTCTTCACCTATCGTTCGCGATGCACTTATCGACGGTGCAGCGCCGGCCTTGCCCGACAGTCGGGTGATCAACCAACTGCGGAAGAGCGGTTGTCATTTCGACGGCCGTGATCCCGCCGCGTTCTTAGAACGCCTGGCCGAACTCCGCGATAACTACCAGATTACGGCGGAGCAAATTCTGCGCGATTTATCGGAGTTGCTACGGGGGGATGCCCTTTTATGGTATCGCAACCATCGGGGCAGCTGGCTCACGTGGCAGGACTTCGAGGCCGCGTTCCGGCTACAGTTCCTGTCCCATCGTTACGTAGCTTCCCTACGCCGCGAGATTGAGAATAGGCACCAGAGGGCCCACGAGACATTCGCGCAGTACTCCACGGTGATGATGACGCTGATGCGCCGTTTGGGCGGGTTTTCTCCGTTTGAGCAGCTCGAGTACCTGTACAGCCATAAGCACCCAGAATATAAATTTTACATCCGCAGCGCGGATTTCGGTAGCATCGCCGAGTTACAGGCGCGAGCCCGCGAGCACGAGGATTTAGTAAAAGAACGGCAAGGAGGTCGTGAAGAGGGAAAAGGCCGAAGTAAAGTCCGTGATGGCTGTCGCGTATAGCAAAACCGAGTGCTGCTGGCGGTGTAAACAACGCGGGCATACCCGCCGCCAGTGCAAGCGCCCAGTGCGGACGGGACGGGGTGCTCACCTCGCAGTGCCATCCGCCGGCGGGAAAAGGCAACGGGGCGGGAGGAACACAGGTCGACGCCACTCCCAGCCCCGCATAACGTTTAAGCCACAACCGCATATACTTGTCACGATCGGAGATCTGACGTGCGACGCCCTGATCGACTCCGGGTCCGAAACGTCACTCATTAACGACGAGATCGCCGAGACCCTCGGACGGCGAGGTTTCGAGGTCACCATCGAAGAAGGCCGGATCCAGCTGGCCGACGACCAGGAAGCCACCACCGCGGGGGCAATCATCTTGCCGGTCGAGGGCGAAAGACCACGCACACGTTCGCGATAATGCCGCGTCTCTCCGGTGAAGTCTTCATCGAAGTAGACCTCCAGGCCAAGTTGCGTCTGGGCACGCCGGCCCCCCCTCGGCACGTGCTTCGGGCACGAGGGCGATGTTGCACCACCGGGGGTCTGGCCGGGAAAACCCCCGCCGAAAACGAACGCCTACAGGAATTTTTACGCGACGAACTCGGAAAGTTCAAGGAAGTGAGAGGGCCCACGGACCGGGCGCAGCATTCTATTCGATTGAGAGACGATACTCCCATCAAGCAACGATACCGCCCACGCAATCTGGCGATGCAGGCGGTGATCGATAACGAGATAAACGAGATGCTGGCCCGAGGTTATCGAACCCTCGCATAGCCCGTGGAGTTCGCCCATCGTCGTCGTGAAGAAGAAAGACGGCCGGCAGCGTTTTTGTATCGATTTCCGACGGGTCAACGAAGTGACCCATAAGGACGCTTACCCGCTGCCGCAAATTACCGCGACACTGGACAAGTTGAGGGGGGCCCGGTACCTGTCCACCCTGGATTTAAAGATTATTGGCAGGTGCCGCTAACCCCGGGGAGCCGACCCGTTACCGCTTTCACCATACCGGGTAAAGAGCTCTACCAATTCAAGGTTATGCCGTTCGGACTACACTCCGCGCCCGCCACTTTTCAACGACTATTAGACTCGGTTCTCGGGCCCGAATTAGAGCCGCACGTCTTCGTCTATCTGGACGACATCATCGTGATTAGCCGAACATTCGAAAAACATCTCGAGCTGCTCAGGGAGACTTTTCGCCGTCTACGTAACGCGCGCCTCCGCCTGAACCCGGAGAAGTGCCGTTTTTGTGTGGACCGCCTAATATACCTCGGGCACGTCATCGACCGCGAGGGGATTCGCATCGACCCCGAGAAAATTCGCGCCGTGGCCGGTTGGCCGGAACCGCAGACCGTAAAACAGATCCGTCAGTTCGTGGGGATGGCGTCCTGGTACAGACGGTTTATTCCGAATTTCTCCACGATCACCGCGCCGCTCACCCAATTAACTAAGAAGCACGCACGCTGGAAGTGGGGCCCGGAAGAATCCATCGCATTCGATCAATTAAAACGCGCGCTGATTTCCGCGCCGGTTCTGGCCTGCCCCGATTTCACCCGCCGGTTTTCTCTGCAGACCGACGCTAGCACGACCGGGCTCGGGGCCGTCTTAACACAACATTTTGAAGAAGGCGAGCGCGTGATCGCCTACGCGAGCCGCACCTTAAATTCAGCCGAACGGAATTACAGTGCGACGGAGCTCGAGTGCCTGGCCATCGTCTGGGGCATCCGGCGCATGAAGAGTTACCTCGAGGGTTACTTATTTACCGTCGTAACCGACCATCAAGTCCTACGATGGTTACAAAAAATGGAATCGCCGACCGGACGCCTCGGACGCTGGGTGTTCGAGCTCCAGCAGTACGATTTCGACGTACGATACCGCCGCGGAGTATTAAACCGGGTCGCAGACGCAGTGTCGCGTCACCGGCTACCTGCGCCGCCAGACGCCAGGAATACTCCTGGTACCGCCGCACGTGGGAAGGGGTCCAGAATGACCCCGCCGCGTACCCCGATTACCGCATCCAGGATGGACAACTACACCTCATCTACCACAGCCTGGACTTCAAGGACAGCCACCCTGACGAACAGTGGAAACGCTGCATACCCAAGGAGGACCGGAAGAAAATATTACAACAATACCACGACGCCTCCACCGCCGGGCACCTGGGCATCGCGAAAACCATCGCCCGCATTGCCAAGAGATATTACTGGCCGGGGATGTTGCGCGAGATTGCCGGTTACGTACGAGCCTGCCGAAACTGTCAGGCCCACAAGGTCGCTCAGCAACCGGCCGGGGCACTGCACTCCACGTACGTCGGCCGACCCTGAGAACAAGTAACGCTGGATCTCGTCGGTCCGTTGCCACGTTCACACCAGGGACATACGTGGCTTTTCGTCCTCCAAGACCGATTCACGAAATGGGTAGAGCTCGTGCCGTTGCGCCGAGCTACCGCCGCCGCCGTCACCAAGGCACTAACCAAGCGCATTATCCTACGACACGGCCGACCCGAATCTGTGCTATCGGACAACGGGACACAACTGAGATCCACCCAGTTGGAGGAGCGCCTACGAGCATGGAATATCCGGCATATCACCGTATCGGCTTACTCGCCTCATTGTAATCCGGTCGAGAGAACGAACCGCACCGTCAAGACGATGATCACCCAGTACATCGACAAAGATCATCGAGCCTGGGACGAACACATACCGGCCTTGCATTTCGCAACACGGCACTCCACGACGCAACCGGATACACACCGGCCTTTCTAAATTACGGGCGCGAAGTACAAGCCCCGGAAGACACCGACCCGCAGACCGCAGTACCGGACGCGCCTGACGTCATCCGGAACAAGCTCACCGAGGCGTACGAAGTGGTGAAGCTTCATTTGGCGCAAGCTTTCCAGCGACAGAAACGCCATTACGACTTTCGGCGTCGGCCTTGGAAACTGAACGTCGAGGAATGGGTGTGGAAGCGCGATCACCCTCTTTCTAAGAAAAGCGAAGCGTACAACGCCAAATTGACGCCCAAGTTCAGCGGACCGTACGAGATCCAAAAAATCATCTCACCCGTTATAGTGGATTTCAAGAGCAAGAGGGGAAAGTGGATAAGGCATGTACATATCCAGGATTTGAAAACGACTCATCAAAACAACAACAATGACAACCTTATCCCCCCCAACGAGGACATCAATCACGAGCCTGACACCTCGTTTATCGAGAACGCTCACAATTGAGCCAGACTTCTCAGAAGATGAAGCAAAGCCAAGGAATCCTGGAAGAGATCACCGCCCTGCTTCAGGAATACGAAGCAGGACGCACCATCGCGACGCGGACTGAGGAACCCGCGCCGCCCCGCATTGCCGCACCACCACCGCCGCGGCCACCTCGAGTCGGCACCACCATCCAGCGGTCCGACCGAGTCAACCGGCAAAAGCAGGAGGCTCTCCTGACGCCGCCACCACCACCACCGCAGCGAAGGGCCTTAGCGAATAGTTATTTTTAAGAAAAAATATGTAATTTGCAATTAACAATTACATATTTTTTTTTTTAAAAACTTCAAAGTCGCCAGCAAATAAATAAAACAGAGTAATTAAGGTTGACCACAACTGGCAATTTTAATTCGAAATCAAAATTTCACAACGTTTCGACCATAGGTTTTGGCCCTTTTCAAGTGAACTACAAAAAATTAATTCAATATTACAAAAATAAAATAATTGATTTTGAGATAACGAGCAAAAGGTTACATACATACAGTAATTTGATTAAAAGTTATATCGTGAAAAATAATCACTTCGTCAAAAATGTCATGTCAACCTGTCCTCACCAACACAAAGAGAAAGACTAGACAACCTTTATTATTTTATCATAAATATCGTTTAAATTATCAGTGTCCTTTTGTAAGTTGATCGTGTTGTCAAACTTTTTTATATAAAACATTTCAGCAAATTCTCTCTTTCTCACGTGTTTCTCGCTATGTAAAATAACCGGTGAGGACCAATCGAAGTCATGATTAAAATCAACTTTATGTTTGCTAATAACGGAAAAATTACTTTCATGCACTTTAATGTTATTACGATGTTCTTTTATACGAGTGCATACATGTCTTTTTGTTTGGCCGATATATGACTTATTGCAATTTTTGCAATCTAATTTGTAAACTACTTCCGTCATGTTGTTCGTAGGCAGCTTATCTTTACCTCGTTTAATCAGTACATTGAGTTTTTTAGGAACATTATAAACCACATTTAGGCCTATGTTTTTAAAAACGTGATTAAATTCATCACTCAGACCATCAACGAACGGCAAAGAAATGTACGAAGATGCCACTGCATTGTCACATTCATTATCAATATTAGCATTATCACGATGTTTCAAGAATTGTAGTCTTTTTTACATAACGGTTAATGATTTGGCTCGGAAAACAATTGTTGGAAAGAATCCGCTTAACAGTATCAATGTTCTTCGCATGAAATTGAGAATCAGCCAATAATATAGCGCGGTCAACAAGACTGTAAATGGTGTTCAATTTGTATTTCATCGGATGTTTAGAATGAAAATTAATAAATCTGTTAGAACAAGTGGGTTTCCTAAACCAATCGGTTAGAAGACAACCATCAGATCGAATAACAACCGTGTCGAGAAAGCTGATACGAGAATCACATTCAATTTCATGCGTAAAAGCCAAGCGTTGATGATAATTGTTAAAGGTCGATTTTATCCTTTCCACTTTAGGGCGTGGAACAATGGTAAAAATGTCATCAACATATCTGTAATAAACCGGCACATTGAAATCCAGCAGACTCAAACAATGTGTTTCCAAATCATCCATCACAATATCGGCCAAGATAGGTGACAGAGGAGAACCCATAGGACTACCAAAAATCTGTTCGTAAAACTGTCCGTTGAATGTAAAACTAGTAGAGTCCAAAATCATTTCAATCACGTATAAAAACTGTGATAAGTTAAATTTCGTATTAGGCGCGATGTGATTCCAACGTTTAGTGACAGCACTCACAACCAAATCCTTGGGAATATTCGTGAACAATGCAGTGACATCGAGAGAAATCATTATTTCGTCATCTCTAATAATTTTGCCTTTTAAATAATTAGCAAACGTCCAACCATCCTTGATGTGAGATTTAGGTTCCAAGATCGAAATCTTCAATATGTCATGGATGTATTGCGCGACGTTGTATGCGGGACTACCGATCGATGACACAATAATTCGCATTGGAAAACCAGACTTGTGAATTTTTGGTAAACCATAACACCGTGGTAAATTACCATTCGTAGAGTTCAATTTTTTATATGTAGACTCATTTATAAGATCATTGCTACGCCAAGATTTTACAATAGTATTGATTTTATTAGTTAATTTTCTGATCGGATCCTTATTCAATTTCCTGTAAGTGCCAATCAACAACTCATTTTCTTACTTCGATGCAGGAGATATGACTTAATTACGTCACACATTAGCAAGTTAAAGATTAACATCAAGTTTTGTAGCAGTCGCGTTAATCGCATTTTTGAGAAAACCAAGACGAGATATCGTTATTCTGTTAGATATCGTTCTGTTCAGATATCGTTCTGCTTTAAATTACCTTAACTGGCTGGGTTCCTTCTCTACCCTGCTGTACCAAATTCCATATCACAAGATAATAGTTAGAGATAAGCTCTATAACTTTTGACAAAAATGTTTTTCTGTCTCTTTCTGTTTGAGTTATTAGCCTTTATCGGGACTTTTTAATTTTTTTATTATTTGATCTCGATGTTGACTAGAAAGTCAAGGAAGTGTACAGACAAGGTTATATCCGAATGTAAAATTTCCTGCTCTTTCCGTTCCCGATGTCAAAAGTATGCGGTCCCATTTAAAAAAGTCGACCTGACCTTCAAATTCACTTGAAGGTCAACTTCAAGGTCAAATTCAAGGTCACGAGATAAAAGCTCGGAGTAAGCCCTACAACTTTTGTTGGAAAAGTTTCTTTGTCCGACCCTTACTTTTCGAGTTATTCCCCCGTACCGGGACTTTTTGAACACCCTGTATACATATATATATATATATACAGGGTGACCCATTTTAATTTAGGCAGCCAAATAACTCGAAAAATAAGCACACTACGAAAAAATGGTTAGAATCAAAATTTCGTCATTTCGAGGGGGACGTACAATGACGTTAAAATCAGCCCCTCCACCCCTCCCCCTGGGCAGCGAGGGGGGGCAAGTTTGAAATCTTAAATGGGAACCCCTATTTTTTATTGCATATTCCTGTAGCTTATCTCGAGAGCTTTCCAAAACACTATAATTAAGTACCTTTTTATTAAGTACTTTTTGAGTTATAAGGCTTGAAATAATTTCTTAATTTTACATAAACCATAAAATATCTAGTAAACCATTCATTTTTCGATTATCTTACCTTCATACTTTTATGTACAAAATAATGAGAGGAATCAATTGGTGTAAAGAAAACATACAGTTGTTTTTAAGAAAAAATATAGAATTGTTAATTGCAAATTACATATTTTTTCTTAGAAACAACTTTTGTTTCTAATTTAGCGCTGCTACGCTGAACAATGTGCTAATGAAACTAGCAGCGGTAAGTTTTTTAACTACAATTTTTTTATATGTATTAATTTTAAATTTTTATATAAATTTTTATTTTTTTTATTAATTTCTAATTTTTAATTTTTTTAATAATTTTTAATTTTGTATTTTGTATTATCATTTTCTTTTTTTTTTTAATTAAACTTTTCAGGATATATGCATATGATTATTGCAATGTATATGATTGTTTATATTTTCAACGATTTTTTTATAATAGATATATTACAATTCATTTAATATCATTTTTCTTTTAATATTGAAAATAAAAAAGAAATATGTATATTTTATAGTGAAAATTTTTATTCAGTTGGCGCAACTTTTTAATATTATTTGTAGGAAATTAAAACAATTATTTTGTACAATTTTTTTTAGTTAAAATATTTTAAGTTTTTATTTTCAATTAGCGTAATTTTTGGATATCATTATTTTTCTAGGATATAATGTAGAAAATTAAAACAATTATTTTGTAATTAAATGGAAGAACATAGGCAATAGAGAGCAAGTAAATAAATAAATTATTAAAGATCAAGTACAAGTAATAATAATTTAATAAAGTAAACTATAATTCTCTGTAACATTTTTGACAGTAACCGATCTTCATGTTGAATCTTGTTGTTTTTTCAACTTTTCATTATCGCAGAACAGTTTCTCTGCTGCATTTGGTACTGTTGTCAAGTTTCTGTTCTGCATCTAATTAACTCGCACAATGAGGTTCTTTATATCTCTCGTCATGGAGATCTATTATTTTGATAAACGTCTATTAACTTTGCGTCTATGCGACATCGATTTTTGATTAACACTTATCATTACAATTTTTTTTATGGTTCCTACACCACATTATTATTTGTAATTTTTTATGTTACATCATTGCGCTGAAGAAGGCTCAAAACAAGAGCCAGAAACGTCCGTACCGTACATTTCTTTTATTATTATTTTTAATTGTTTATATCGTACTTAACATGTTTATATCAATTATAGTTTACTTTATTAAATTATTATTACTTGTACTTGATCTTTAATAATTTATTTATTTACTTGCTCTCTATTGCCTATGTTCTTCCATTTCATTATTAAATTCGAAGAGAGCTTTTTTCAATATTTGTAACTTTTTTTGGTTAAAGTATTTTTATAAGTTTTTATTTTCACTTAGCGCAATTTTTTTGATATCATTATTTTTGTAGGATATACAATACATTAGTTATTTTACAGTTAATAATACACTATTTTGCAAATACATATACTGTTTTTTACGCGGACTTAGCACCTTTTTTTACCTTTTTTTTAAAAAGATAATTTTTTTTAGAGATATATTTTACTAGATATTTTATAGTTTATGTAAAATTAAGATATTATTTTAAGCCTCATAAATCGAAAAGTACTCAATGAAAAAATACTTTATTATAGTGTTTTGGAAAACTCTCGACATAAGATATAAGAATATGCAATAAAAAATAGGTGGTTCCATTTAAGAAATTAAAGGTGTCCTTGAGAAATTAAAGATGTCCTTGAGCTGACCTTAACGATGCCATCCAAGGTCAAACCAATGACACCATTTTATGTTCCCTTCAAAATCATATAATTTTTGTCGAAAACGTTTTTCTCTAAAATGCTTAGTTTTTGAAAGAAAAGGGGTGTATGGGTGGTCTAGAACACCTTGTATAGTAGTCTTAACATCACGGAGCGCCGTTAGCGCAATCTTACGTCGAATGCGTCAACCGTACAACTTTGTACGCTTGCGCATTGGGAACTTGAGCGTTGACCAAGGAGACGTTTCTTAATGAAAAGTTTTCATATTTTGACTTTGGATCATAATATTGCTGTTCACGATGCACGTAGAGCAAAAATAAAGACACTTTTCTTATATAAATCAAACTCAAGCTATCAATTAAGCCTAGTAAGAACTCGATGCGTTCAGCGATTATTTCAATATGATAATCTCGAATATCTCAAACTATCCGACTCGCGTAAATATACACGGATTGTCTTGTTGCTTACGCGGGACTTAGCACAAGACACTACCGTGTCTCTTGATTTTATTATTAATATCATTAAAATAATGAAAAAAAAATTATTTTTCAGATTTATAATTTTTCTATGAGAAAAATCATGTGTGTCATCAACTGTTATACAGAAAATAAATCTTTCGAAATGCATAAAACATTATAATAATTAAAAAAAAAAAAAATATATATATACAGGGTGTCAATTAAGTCCCGGGACGGCTGAATATTTCCTCATGTAAGGTATTTTTGAAAAAGGTCAAGGTCATTTCTGAAGTAATTTTCAACGAGGAATTCAACGGTGACCTTCAATTTGACCTTGAGCTTGACCTTCAAGGTTATTTGAAGGTCAAAGTGTTTTTTTTAAATAGGAACCCCTATTTTTGATTGTATATTCTTATAGCTGACCTCGAGAGCTTTCCAAAACACTATAATAAAATATTTTTCCCTCAAGCATTTATCGAGTTATGATGCTTCAAATCATTTCTTAATTTTACATAAACCGTAAAATATCTTGTAAAATATTCACTTTTCGATTATTTTACCTTAATACTTTTATGTACAAAATAATGAGAGGAATCAATTGGTTTAAAGAAAACAATTGTTTTTAAGAAAAAATATGGAATTGTTAATTGCAAATTCCATATTTTTTCTTAAAAACAACTATATGTTTTCTTTACGCCAATTGATTCCTCTCATTATTTTGTACATAAAAGTATTAAGGTAAAATAATCGAAAAGTGAATATTTTACAAGATATTTTACGGTTTATGTAAAATTAAGAAATGATTTGAAGCATCATAACTCGATAAATGCTTGAGGGAAAAATATTTTATTATAGTGTTTTGGAAAGCTCTCGAGGTCAGCTATAAGAATATACAATCAAAAATAGGGGTTCCTATTTAAAAAAAACACTTTGACCTTCAAATAACCTTGAAGGTCAAGCTCAAGGTCAAATTGAAGGTCACCGTTGAATTCCTCGTTGAAAATTACTTCAGAAATGACCTTGACCTTTTTCAAAAATACCTTACATGAGAAAATATTCAGCCGTCCCGGGACTTAATTGACACCCTGTATATACAGGGTCTACCAAAAGTGTGGAAACCCCTAAATATCTCGGAAAATATACGTTTTACAGAAAAGTGTTTCCAACAAAAGTTGTAGGGTTTAAGAAGATCTATATACTGATTCTATCAGTTTGACCTTGGATGGCGTCGTCAAGGTCAGGTCAAGGTCACATTGACTTTTTTAAATAACACCCCCTACATTTGATTGCATATTCTTATAGCTTAATTCAAGAGCTTTCCAAAACACTATAATAATGTTCATTTTTATTAAGTACTTTGCGAGTTATGAGGGTTGAAATAATTTCTTAATTTTACATAAACCATAAAATATCTAGTAAACCATTCATTTTTCGATTATCTTACCTTCATACTTTTATGTACAAAATAATGAAAGGAATCAATTGGTGTAAAGAAAACATACAGTTGTTTTTAAGAAAAAATATGGAATTGTTAATTGCAAATTACATATTTTCTCTTAGAAACAACTATGTGTTTTCTTTACACCAATTGATTCCTCTCATTAATTTGTACATAAAAGTATGAAGGTAAGATAATCGAAAAATGAATGGTTTACTAGATATTTTATGGTTTATGTAAAATTAAGAAATTATTTCAACCCTCATAACTCGCAAAGTACTTAATAAAAATGAACATTATTATAGTGTTTTGGAAAGCTCTTGAATTAAGCTATAAGAATATGCAATCAAATGTAGGGGGTGTCATTTAAAAAAGTCAATGTGACCTTGACCTGACCTTGACGACGCCATCCAAGGTCAAACTGATAGAATCAGTATATAGATCTTCTTAAACCCTACAACTTTTGTTGGAAACACTTTTCTGTAAAACGTATATTTTCCGAGATATTTAGGGGTTTCCACACTTTTGGTAGACCCTGTATATATATATAGGTATATACCGGGTGTTTCAGACCACCCGTACACCCCATTTTAAAGCAAAGGAAGTGGTTATTTTGAAAAATG